ACACCCAAATGGTCTCAAACAGGGGCCCAGAGTTGGAACTTAGGAGCATCTCGTCCAGTCACCAGCCCAAGTGGCCTTCTGCTTTGCCACTGATTCTGTTAAAGGGACACATTCAAGTATTTGCTGCAAACTTTAAGTGACTCACACCCCCATTCCTTATAGCATACCGATTAGTTGTGGATTTTCTCTCTTTCTACTCTCCTTCGTTCGGACTTTGCATTCCATACCCCAGGATGGAGCACTGCTTCCTGACTTCACGCACCCTCCCGTGTCAGGTTTTCATAAGAGTAATAAGTTAGTGAACATATTTTTTACTGGTGGGGTTATTACATATGCACCATCCTTAACGAAAGACCAGAGACTACCCTCGATGGCTCCCAGGAGTCCCCAAGTAAATGCGGTCAGCAGACACAATGGACCACAGATCGATAGACCACCGAGGGCATCTTGCCCAACTATATTTTCCTTTTCTTTTTAACAGTTTTTTTACAACACCTTTTCGAATCCAGAGCATCTGCCACATAAGAGCAACTTCCTGTTGTGAGGGACTCCCTGGGGTGGTTGGACACTAGGCATTTAGGCTGTGCCGCAGGGAAAGGAGTATCCCTGTGGAAAACACCTACTGTCATAACCTCCACCCGCTCGGAAAGGAGAAACCAGTGTTGTAGCTGCTCTGGTACCTGGAACTCAATTGGCTGGGGCTCTTTAGAAAACAGTTGGTGGTGTTGGCCGCGGCGGTGGCTCAAGCCTGTAATCCCAGCACTTGGGAGGCCGAGACGGGGTGGATCCACGAGGTCAGGAGATCGAGACCATCCTGGCTGACACGGTGAAACCCCGTCTCTACTAAAAAATACAAAACTAGGCCGGGTGAGGGGCGGGGCCTGTAGTCCAGGCTACTCGGGAGGCTGAGACAGGAGAATGGCGTGAACCCGGAGGCGGAGCTTGCAGTGGAGCTGAGATCCGGCCACTGCACTCCCAGCCTGGGCGGACGAGCGAGACTCCGTCTCAAAAAACAAACAAACAAACAAAACAAACAAAAAAACAGTGTGGTGTGGCAGAGATAGATAAGAGGACTAACAGGAGAGAATAAACGCCCAGATACAGACCACGCTATCCGTAGAACTGTTCCACATGACTAGGGTGGCCATAACATATCGTGGGGGAATGGAGGGAGTGTTCAACAAAGAGATTGAAAACAAATGCTTATCACATGTCAAGCTAGATTGGAACCTAACTCATGCTATCTAAACATCCAGCGATGAATTAGGATTTACATATAAAAAACAAACTTCAATTTTTTTTTTTTTTTTTTTTTGAGACAGAGTCTCGGCTCTGTCGTCCAGGCTGGAGTGCAGTAGCGCGATCTCGGCTCACTGCAAGCTCCACTTCCGTTCACGCCATTCTCCTGCCTCAGCCTCCGAGTAGCTGGGACTACAGGGCACCGCCACCACGCCTGGCTAATTTTTTGTATTTTTAGTAGAGACGGGGTTTCACTGTGTTAGCCAGGATGGTCTCGATCTCCTCACGTCGTGATCCACCTGCCTCAGCCTCCCAAAGTGCTGGGATTACAGGTGTGAGCCACTGGGCTGACCTAAAACTTCAAAATTTTTAATGAAATGTATAAGTAAGATAAGATTTCCTAAATTCGACCAAACAATGTGTATTTTATAAAAGACTGGAAAATATGACTATATTGAAATTTAAAATGTTTGTTCATCAAAGGACATCTTAAAAGACAAGCTAGGGCTGGGCACAGTGGCTCATGCCTGTAATCCCAGCACTTTGGGAGGCCAAGGAGGGTGAATCACTTGAAGTCAGGAGTTGGAAACCAGCCTGGGCAACCCGGTGAAACTCCATCTCTACTAAAAATTCAAAAATTAGCTGGGCATAGTGGCGGGTACCTGTAAGGCCAGCTACTTGAGAGGCTGAGACAGGAGAATCACTTGAACCTGGGAGTTGGGGGCTGCAGTGAGCCGGGATCGCACCACTTCTCTCTAGCCTGGCAACAGAGTGAGACGCTGTCTCAAAAAAAAAGACCAGCTGGAAACTGGGAGAAGAGATTTACAATATATATGCCACCCCAAAGGATCAATATCCTGAGTACATAAAGAAGTACAAATGATTATGAAAAGCACAAGCTACACTCCCGAGAAATGGGCAAAAATGAAGACCAAGCTTTTCACAGAAGAGGAAATGCCCATAAAAAAAGAGATGTTCAACATTAGTGTAGGCCAGGCATGGTGGCTCACACCTGTAATCCCAGCACTTTGGGGGAGGCCAAGGCGGGCAGATCACCTGAGGTCAGGAGTTTGAGACCGGCCTGACCAACATGGTGAAACCCCGTTTCTACTAAAAATACAAAAATTAACTGGGCGTGGTGGCGGGCACCTGGAGGCCCAGCTACTTGGGAGGCTGAGGCAGGAGAATGGCGTGAACCCGGGAGGCGGAAGTTTCAGTGAGCTGAGATCGTGCCAGTGCACTCCAGCCCGGGCGATAGAGCGAGACTCAGTTTCAAAAAAAAAAAAAAAAAAATTAATGATAAGGAAATGCAAATCAAGAGTAAAACTTGGTCTCATTTCATACCCTAGCTGGAAAAGAAGTCTGACCACACCAAGGGTCAGAGCGGATCCATGGGGGTGGGGGGCTCTGGATTCCTGGGGAGACTGTACACTGATGTATTATTTTATTATTTTGGAAGACAGTTTGGCTTTACTCCCAAACTTGAACATTCACATATTCATAATCCCAGCGGGTTCTCCTGCTGTGTTGAAATTGTGGAGAGGAGAACGTGGATAGAAAGTAAACGGAGAGGCCAATAAGGAAGACAGAGCCAGCCTATAAAAGAGGCTGGCTGTGGAGGTAGGCAGCAGCTGTTCAGTTCAAGAGACTGAAATCAACAAAACACTAGAACAAGGTCATAGAAAATGACATCCAATGGGCAGTAAGCATATTAAAATGTGCTTATATTTATTAGTTGTTAGGAAAATGCTATAACCACAATGAAGGACCACTACACACCCACCACAATTCAGAACTCAGAATTCTTATATAAGGCTGTGGGAGTATAGATTTGTACAATCACTTTGGAAAACTCTATGGCTATATACCATGAGACCCATCAATTCTATTTCCAGGCACACACCCAACAGAAATGTGTATAGATGTATACTGAAAGACATGTACAGGAATGTTCATAGCAGCAATATTCATAATAGCCAGAAACAGGTGACAACCCAAATGCCTGTCAGCAGCCAAATGGACACTTTGTGGCATATTCACACAATGGAATGCTAAACAGCAATGAAAACAAAGGCAATACAGACACACATGATGTCTCAAAAGAGTACACACTCAATGATTCACTTTTCATAAAGTTCAAGAACAGAGATGAGGATGGTGCTGAGCTACAGGGAGGAGAGCAGTGACTGGCAAGGCCAGAAAGGGTGCTAGGTAAGTTCTGTTTGTGGATCAGAGTGGTGATAACTTTCACTTTGTGAAAAGGCATTCCTCTGTCCACTTAGGATTTGTGCATTTTTCCGTATGTATGATATACGTCAATTTGAAGTTCACATTTAGAGGGAGGGATTTAGAAGAACTGATAGGACATGGTGACTGATAGAGGTGGATGGAGAAGAATAGAAGGGATCTAGTGTGACTCAGGTTTTGGCCTGAGCAACTGGGTAAATGGGCGTTACCCTTTACTGAGATAGGAAAGAGCAGAGGAGGAGTCAGCGGGGCCCGAGGGAAGTGGGGGAGGGAATCAAGTTCAGCTTTAGACACGCTACAGTGGAGGTGCCTATCAGGCATTTGAGTGAAGATGTCAAGGAACCACCTAGAGATTCAAGTTTAGAGCCCCAGGGAGCAGAGCTGCAGATGCAGATTTGGAAGTGTTTGCTGTGTAAATAGAATGCCAGGTGTGAGCCTGGATGAGATCTCACAGAGCAGGAACTGGAGAGAAAAGAGAAGTCCGGAGGATGGAGTGGAGGAGGGGGACTCTAACAGCTGGCCTGGTGAAAGACAAGAGGCACAAAGGAGACCTAGAAGGAGCAGCCAGAGAGCTAGGAGGAAAACTGGGAGAGCATAGTGTCCAAAGGCCAAGCGGTTTCAAAGACACGGGAGTGATCAACCGTATCTAATGCTGCCAATAGGTCAGGGTGAGATGTGAGAATTGATTACTGGATTTAACAACGTGGAGGTTACTAGGGAACTTGCCAAGGGCATTTTTGTGGAAGGGTGATACCTGAAGTGTGGACCACTATTTGTGGTACCACAGATGGGAGGTGAGGACGGGAAGGCATGAAAGACAGCTCTTCCAAGAGTTTGCTGTGTGAGTGAGCAGAAAAACGGGGCAGGAGGTGGAGGACACAGTGTGGGTGGGGATTTTTAGGTAGGAGTTAGTACAGCATATGTGTGGAGGGGGAACAATGGATAGGACAAGGTCGTCTTATCCATTGACCTTGGGGCCAAGTCATTGAATAGGTGGGAAGGGGGCGAGATTGCATATGCTTGGGGCTTCACCTGTCTAGTTATAGGAAAGACAAGATTTAAGCGATCAGGGAAAGGTAGCCATGCAGATAAGGTGTTGCCTGAGAAGGCTGATAAAGGCTATACAACCCCTTCTCTTCCTCCTTCCTTAGCCAGGCTCCAGCAGGTAGATTCAAAGGTTTCTTGTAGGATAGAAGTTCCTGCCTCAGCAGGGGCAAGGAGGCCTTGGGGCTGGGCTGGGCTGGGTGTGGCACTCTCCCTGCCAGCTTCTACAGCCTGGGGCAGGAACAAAAACCTGTGGGTGCCTCAGACCACAGCAGAGCTCACAGAACCCGCGGGATTCAGGCTCCAGCATGGTAGAGTTCGCGCCCTTGTTTGTGCCATGGGAGCGCAGGCTGCAGACACTTGCTGTCCTACAGTTCGTCTTCTCATTCTTGGCTCTGGGTAAGTTGGGCTGCACTGTGGGATGGGAGACCACCGCACTCAGGTGAGGCAGAGCAGCCACACCAGGTGCACACAGCACATTGATGGTGGGAAGACACTTATCCTAAAGGGGGCTTTGTTGCGCTCAGAGCCCCTGCCCAGAGAGAACTCCTGGGCCTGCCCAGAGGCTTCTTGGTGGTGGAGTGGGGTAGAAGTCACCATCTGCGGCTCTGGGCAGGTTACTTACTCTTCCTGGATTGCACTGTGGGTTCTCCTTTGGCACTTGGATGGAGACCAATCTGCAGGCTGCCGGGTGGTGTAGGAAAGCCTCTGCGTGGTGATGGGAGAGTTCTGCGCTCTGCAGCCTGCTCAGAGAGGAGGGATTTCCTTCTGTACTCTCTGGGAGGAGGAAACTGGGGCTGGTAGTAGGGTAAGTGAGAGAAACAGGGAAAGAACAGGAGGGCGGGGAGAAAGTGCAGGCTGAGAGTGGACTGTGGAGTGGGCATGCTGGGTACCAGGAAACCCGGAGTCAGACTCAGCTGGGCAACTGACCAGTTGCGTGACTTTAGCCAGCCCATGCCTGACCTCTCCAAGCCTCGACTTCACCATCTGCAGATTGGGGACAACAATGCTGGCCTTGCAGGGCTATAGTGAAGGAAATGAAGAAATGTGCTGACCTCTGCTCAGCACCGACCTGGCCTGGACCTTGGGCTGGGCTCACACTAGAGGGCATGAGCATGGCCCCTTACCCACCCCACCACTGATTTGTGGCCAGAGAGATCACCCTTGCCCAAACAACAGCTCTGCCGAAGGTAACATTTTCGAGGAGGGCCTGGATCTGTGGCTTGGGAAGGGAGAATGACTGGGAGTCCATGGGATTTTTCCTTTCATCTGCTGGCACCAGACAGGGTAGGAGCTGCTGCCTCCAGGGCTGGGGTTCTGCACACAGATACCACTCTCCTGGTTGTTGAAATGTTGACACACTCTGAACACATTGGTCAGTAGCCATGTCTCTCTCTCTCTCTCTCACACACACACACATACACCCACATACACACACACGTACTTCCTCAGAAACTCCCCCACAATTCTGTAGCTAAAAAGCTCCCCCTTGGCAAAGCAGGCCCTCCAGGACCCTGCCCTAGCATTCCTTCTGGTTGAGCTGTGTCTCTGTTCTAAGGGTTTTTAGACATTTTACACATCCCTGTATACCCCCTTTGCACAGATGAGCCAAACAATCAAGGATTTGCCTCCAGTAAGGGCTGAGAAACCATCAGTCGGAGGGGAATTCCACACGAGGCCTGGTCTTAGCCCTGATGCACCCCTGATTCTGGGGTGGCCAGGGCTGGCATCTTCCTCCGTCCCTCCTCCTTTCAACAACAAACGTCACTGGTCACTGGAGCTCAGCAGGGTTTGAGAACACTGTGTGGTTCAGAGTGGCCACAGACATGAGGCGGGAGCGGGAGGGACAGGGCCAGCTCTGAGGCTCCTGGAGGCCAGGCTGAGCTGCTTGGACTATGCCTGAAGTTATGGGGAAGTCACGAAGGGCTTGAATAAGGGGAGGGACCTACCTGGATTTATCTCTGGGAAAATGGGGCAGAGGATGAACAGAAAGAGAGCAGGAAAGGGTCTCCCTTTGCTCTGAGATCCCAAAAGACGGAAACCAGAACAGTTTATCCAACCAGTTGTCCCCATCGATTACTTGGTAAGTACAGACAACTCTCCTGGGGAGAAGGGAGATAGGCGGGGGATGGAGTGAATTAGGTGGCCTGGTGCAGTGGGGGAAAGTGAGCTTTGGTATTAGGCCTACCTAGGCTCAACGCGTGCTCCCAGTGACACTGGGCTGGCCACAGTCCCTCTCGAGGCCTTCCTCTCCTCCTTGAAGGATCAGGAAGCTGCTCTCTTCCTCCTGGGGTCAAGGATTGGACAAGACGGCGCTGCTAGTGCCGGGCCTATGGGCAGAGCTCAGTCTGAGCAATCTCACCTGCCTTCCTCTCAGATCCTGTTCCTGACAGCTCCTTCTTCCCTCCCCAGCCGAGATCTGCATTGTGGGCTTCATAGCCCTCCTGTTTACAAGATTCTGGCTCCTCACTGTCCTATATGCGGCCTGGTGGTACCTGGACCGAGACAAGCCGCGGCAGGGGGGCCGGCGTGTCCAGGCCATCAGGTGCTGGACCATATGGAAGTACATGAAGGACTATTTCCCCATCTCGGTGAGTATTGAGGCTGGTTGGGGTGGGGGAGGGAGTTGGCTGGGGTGTGGTCAGGGCCCGAGTGCCCACATCTTCATGGGAAAATATGGCCCTGCATGCATTGAGGAGGCTACTGGGCTGGGAGGTAGGAGCTAGGGCTTCTGCTACTATGTGACCTGGAGAAGAGTCCAGCTTCTCTCCGATCATGGTTTCGCATCTGCAGGGATGCGGGGCCAGTACAGGGACTGATGAGTGTCCAGCGTTTGAAGGAGTTCTGTGGGGTATATGATGTAAGGCATGCCTATGTATCTTAAAGGCACAGACCCATGAGCAGCCCAGGCTTGGGAGTGAAGGTAATAAACTTACAGTTTCTAAGGACCATCTAACCTCACACTTAACATTTACCAGAAGAGGAGGCTGACACCCAGAGAAAGAGAAAATGTCACCAATGTCACACAAGTTCTTTTACAGATTTCCAAGTGTGTACACTGACTGTGGGCAAAGGGACAGGTGAGAGAGCCCTGAATTGTTCTCAGATCCTACCGTGCCCCTAACTGGCATATGGTGTATCTTTGGGCAAAGCTTTATCCTGTTCTGAGGCTCAGTCTCCCCATGTATCTAGTAAGTAGACTGATTCCTCCTCCTCTGCATGCCTTCAAATCTCTGGCTTTCCGACTCCTGTCACCTCATGGTCATTGTGGACACTTGGCCTTGGACTTGAAGGTGTGTCCAGAGCAGAGCAGATCCCTGGATTTGAGTAAGCAGATCTTTCGGCCCCTTCAACGGAATCCCAGGCAATCTAAAGCCTTGATCTATGCAGCCAGGCAGTGATGGTTCATTGGCCAGATGGAATAGGGTGGGGAAGGCAGCAGGGATGCAAAGAAGGGACAGGCAGGGGCAGTTGGCCCTCCTCTGGAAGCAGGAGAGAAGAAAGGGATAAGACATGGCCTGTGGAGACAGGCAGACTAGACTCTGATCCCAAGTCAGCCCCATACCATACCAGCTGTATGACCGTGGGCGAGTTAGTCTCTCTGAGCCTCAGTTTCCTCATATGTAAAATGGGGATAATGCCACATACCTCACTGGGTTGTGTAGATTCAATGAGACAAAGCAGGTAAAGCACTTTGTAGGTTTTTTTTTTTTTTTTGAGATGGAGTCTCGCTCTGGCTCTGTCACCCAGGCTGGAGTGCAGTGGTGCGATCTCGGCTCACTGCAACCTCTGCCTCCCAGGTTCAAGCAATTCTCCTGCCTCAGCCTCCTTGAGAATGGAGTCTCGCTTCTGGCTCCTGTCAGCCACCAGGGCGCGCTGCGGAGTGCCAGTCTCGCGTCCATCGGGCTCAACCTGGGGCATCCTCTCCAGGGTTCTCAAGCAATTTCGCCGGCGCTGCCTCAGCCTCCCGCTGTCCTGGCATACACGGCAGCCATGCCTGGCGAGGATTTCTGTGGATTTTTGCAGTAGCGACGGGGCTTCACCCATGTTGGTCCAGGCTGCCGCTCGCAACTCCAACCTTAGGTGATCCGCCCAACTCAGGCTCGCCAAAGTGCTGCGAATTACAGGCTCCGAACCCGAGCGTGCCCGGCCTAGCACTTTGTAGGTTTTCCAGTAAACAGGCTGGCTAGTATTATTTACCTTGGGCAGTGGACTCTGAGGAGGCGTGTCGTGCGATGTCTGAGAGAGGCCCACTGCGAGAGTCCGCGCTGCTCTGACCTCCACACTAGTGAAACGCTTCTCCACCTCTGGCCTGGGCGAAGCTACCTCTTCCCGCCCCTCGCAGAAAAAGGTCTCCAGCTTGCAAAGGGAGGGGTAGAGGACACCAAGTCCACAAGTTTAAGAAACCTGTTCTGCAATTATGGGAACGCCAAGGGTGGCTTGGCGCTTCCTGCCTTGCCCTTCTGAGAGTCTCTGGAGCCAAGAAGGACTGGCAAAGGCTGAGCCACGAGACGGAAGCCAGTAGCCTCACAAACCCGCAGGTGGGCAGGCCTCCAGGGAGCCAACGGGCAACGGGGGCGTGCTGGGCAGAGAGCAGGGCAGTGCTGGCAGAGACCTCAACGTGCCGCTGCGCTC